GTAGTAAAATAATTTATAGTTAAATAATGAATTTACATATACAATTTTACTATATAGTTTGATTTATTTATTTAAAAATGCAAATCTATTTTAAAACTCTGGTTTGGAGCTACGGAAATTGACAGAATTGCTTCTTCAAACCCTCAGTACCAAAAAGGTTGACTAACACTATGTTCAGACAATTGGCTAAATTGAGTAATTTATGTTGTTAATTGTGCTAACTATTTTGGACTTTCCGCACAGTCTATATTTAAATTAATTTCTAGCAAATTGAAAGTCGAAAATATTTACTGTTGGAATTTCGAATTTTAACTTTTGTTGTTCACAGTTTGGAATTTGCGTGTTGACTTTTTTAAGTTTTAAGTTTTTGATCTTACATTTTGCTTTCCTCCAACGTAAATTAAACAGATTTAACAGTTTCACGGAGCATCTGACTCAATTTAGAAGCAATTAGACATTAAATTAGTTTTCATTTTAAAAATTGACTTTTTTTTAGGAAATTTACTTCATTTCAGACATACTTTAAATATGTGTATGAATATATTCAATTTTCGTTTAGTTATTTAAAATTATAAAAATATTTAAAAACGATGAACGCAAGAATTGCTTCCTATATTCAGACAACCCGCTAAATTGAGTAAATTTAGTTTTAAATTAAAGAAACGTATTGGTCTTCACACATAGTCCATTTAACTTATTTAATTGGAAATCAAAAGCTGAAAATTTGTTATAATTGTATTTTTAATTGCTCTCTTAATTTTATTTTTAATTGCTCTTTAATTTTGTTCCATTTCTTGCGTTTTTTTTTTTCATTGATGCATATTCGCGGTTGAAGTTTTTTGATTTTTTTTTTTTCAGTTTTACATTTTTGCTAAATTGAGACCAATTAAGTGAAATTAAGTACTAAATAAGTACTCAGTTTATAAATGGAATTTGTTTAGAGTAAATTGTTTTCAAATGTCTAACTTTTGGCTATCTAACCACAGTATAAGCCAAATTAAAAAATTTTTTAAAAAATGCCAAACCAGTATTGAATGGAAATGAAATTTCAAAAAATGATCAAATTACTAGGCGATGAACAAATTTCTCGATTATTTCTTATACATATTTTTTTCTGAAAATATTCTCAAATCGAACACAATTTTCTTGAAATTTATAATTATGTTTTTTTTTTTAGTATGTACATTAATTTTAGAAACCGTAATGGAAAATTTAGCATAATACCATAATTAGAATGCAAAAGAAAGTGTGGGAATAATAAAAAATAAATAAATTCTAATAGGAAAAAAGGAAAAACACAGAACTATATTTTTTTTTTTAACTTCAGCAGATAATCTCTTTTATATTTAAATAAATCTTTTTTGCTTTTGCTGAGAATTTCCCTCTGTTTTAACAATTTCTATATGAATTCATTCTAATTTTTAGGCTGGGGATATGAAAATTAAGTCTCAAATTAAAATTAAACAAGTAAAGTCATAAACTCTATAACAGTGTTATTTATTGTTAAGAGTTTGTTGTAAGTATTAATTTGAAGTAAATTAGTGTCCTCGGTTTTTGAAATATCGGAGTTGTCGTATTTTTTACCGTCTTGAAAAATTTTCAACAAAGTGCTTTTCCGTGCCAAGGTTATAAGGTGCACCAATTTTGGTTGAATTTTATGAATCATTTCCCGAGATAAACATTTGTGGTCATAAGTGGGCGGCGCCACGCCCATTATCAAAAAATTTATAATAATCAAATTTTCTGGTAAGTTATTATTGCAATAATCGATTTTTGGGGAATTAGCTTCAATAATTACCGATTTATCGCAGTTTTCGTGTTTCTGTAAATTACCTATATATGGGAGGTGGGCGTGGTTATAGCTTGATTTCAAAGATTTTCAACAGATCTCTTAGTTGGACCCTAAGCAAGGCTAGGATCGAGTTTGGTAAGGATTATTATTGTTTATCATAATTCTACTTCACATACTAATTTTCAAAAATTTCGTTTGAACATTTACTGGAATATCGTAGTTTTTGCATTTTTCGAAAACACCGCTATATGAGAAGAGGGCGTGGTTACAGTCACCGATTTTCAATACCAATCTACCTTATACCAAATTTCATTTAGATGTCTCAATTTTTGCTCGAGTTGCTTAATCGACTTCTCTTTTCTTTCTGATCATTTATGTATACATTTGTCTATATCTATCTCGATTCGTTTTGACAAACAACCGTTATGTGAACAAAATTATAATACCCTTGTGCAATAGTGCGCTCGGGTATAAAAAGGCACTCAGACAACAACATTACTAACTTCAATTTATGTACATCTGCATATTTACATTTTTTTACCCTTTTAGGACCATAAGCCTATGAGCAGACTACAATTTCATCATACTTTGTCAGTAGAGTAATTTTTCAAACCCCTCCAAAAGAATGCGATTTTAATTTTAAGCAGTTGTCTGTCCGGGAGTGAGTTAAATATTTCAGAATCAAGAAAAAAAGTTTTAATACCAATTTCTTTCACTGAAGCTATTCACTAATTAATGTGGAAAAAGATAATGTAACAAGGTAATTAAAAAATTGTTTTCCGTTTTTGTTTAGTTAGAATTTCCCAATTCGACTGTCCCGAAAACCTGAGTTAAACTACACATAAAAAATTACTATAATTAACTATAGTTACCAAAATAGCTTTAATGCATAAATTTTACTATTTAGAGTTGGTTTGAGAACTTTTAAATTAATTGCCAAACTTATCAACATTTTTTATTTTACAATTTTCGTGGTAAGCAAAAATATTACCCACTTTTAATTCACATTTTTAATTCGAAAGTCAAACCGAAATGTATTATGTATGTATGTATGTACATATGTATGTTCTCAATAGTAGTTATTTATGAATAAACAGATGTAAATTCATTAAAGAATTCCAACTTCCAGCAAAAAACAAAAGAAGACCCGCTTCGCATGGAATTTTGTTTTCGCCGGGCAGCTAGCGCTACAAATGCATACATAGGCGAACACACAATGGAGTGGAATGGATAAGAAACACTAAGCTTCGCTGTTGCTGCTGCTGCTGGCACAGCGAATGTATAAATGTGTACATACAAACAACAAATAAATACATACATATGTTTTTGTTAATTTAGGCAAAGCAAATTGACTTAAGCCACAATAGCGCTTTTTTTTCTTTTATCTCTGTAGTGAATGCGGCGATGTAGGATATCTACCAAGGCGTATTTAACAAGGTGGTGTTGGCCGTATATAAGTAAAAAATTACACTAACAAATTATACGCTGATGTCCATACTGTCATTGGTATGAGTTACAACAAACACATCATTTTGACGTAATGGCCTCCACGGCGAAAAACTCAGCTGTCGCCCCAACACCACCTTGTTTAATACACCTTGATATCTACGTTTTTTTTCAGAAAAATAATAAATCTGTATTTTATGTCATTTCCTTTCATTTCATTTCATTTGATTTAATTTATTTGATTTTTATTGCGCTAGTTGGTTATTATGCGTGATTTTATTGCTTAAAAATTCAATCGAAAGAAGCGCTCGCCCGGACCAGAAATTTAAATATTTGATTTGCTAGACATTTAAAAACAGTTAGTTTTGCATTTTTTATTCATTTCACTCTTCTTCTCGACACGTGTGTTTGTACATCTAGCTGCTAGCGTTTAGATTTTTGCGTTGTACTTTAGACTTTACAACAACAATATGTAATGTTTTAGTTAAGGCATGCGGAGAAGATGGACAGTACCGCAACAAATGGCAAATGCAAAGAAAAGATGATTAAATACAAATATTGGCCAAAATCCAAGCTTATCAACGTTGTGAGGCTGTGTAAGCGCACATACAGTGATGCAAACGCACATGCATACAAGTTTACGTTTGCGAGTAAGTATACAAAGGGTATTCACATACTATACTAAGTAGTTTTACTATTAAAATTTTGCTAGCGAAATTGGAAATGAAAATAATAAGATAAAAATTTAGGCATAATAGCCATTGCAACATTTACACAAATATATTTATATGTACACCCAAGGGCAAAATAATAGAAACAACTTACTTTGAGCTGTTTTGTCTATATTTCTGCTGTTTATTTAAGATTTATTATTTTTGTTTATGAAATTGCAGCTCAATTTCTAACAAAAACCATGTAAGTTAATATGTATTTAAATTTTTGTGAAAATTATAAAAATTCTGCCAGTTGCATCTAAATTTTTAGGTTTTGTGTTTTTTTTATGGAAAGAATTGCGTTATTATTTTGCATTTTATGTATGTAAAAATAAAATAAAATTATCGAAAAGCACAATTACAAATCCGGTTGGGTTTGATATTTTTTGATAAGAATGATAATGCAGGTAAGTGCGGGAAGTAAAGGAAGGAACGAAACAAGAAAAAGTACTAACATACAATTAACATAACCTAAAAAATTAAGTAAATGTCTTGTCTTATTAAGGATTAAAAAATCTGCAGTATGTTTAGTCACTTATGAAACATTTAGAAAAATTATGAGAAGCGAGTTTCCGTTCCATTTTGTTTTTTTTTTATGTTTTGAATTGCGAATAAAATTTTTCAAATAACTCCACAGGTTAAGATGGTGACCAGCTACTACCCTTTTCCATCTGTTTCAGCCCCGTTTTTCAAATGGCTCCACAAATTATAATTGCAATTAATCGGTGAAAAGGCTTTTCATAAAAATCATAAGACTATCATAAAGAAATTTAATACAAATCTCATCAGCAAATGGTACCTACATATTTATATAGGTTTCTTTTAAAAGTAGTATATATCGATGGCTGAGTGGAAGATGGACCTATCTCTGCTAGCCGGTTCGAAAACGCCGTATCTCAGAAAACTTTGAAGAACGCCCTATTTCAGAATTTTATTGAAAAACAACCTATCTCAGAATTTAGTTGAAGAAAATACATTGAAAATGTGCTCAGCCATCGATATACAATCTATGGCTGCATTTCTTTATTCTTTCTGAACGTTTGGAATAAACTTTTTTGTTTACTTATTCTTTAGAACGTTCCTGATGATATGTTAACGTATATTTCAATCGCATTCTGTTTATTCTGGCTGTGAAATGGGATTATCCGGAATGAATAAAGAAACGCAGCCTATATAATGCTTCGCAGGGAAATCTTTTTGGTGCTGACATAGCAGCATACCTTTTAAATAAGCAATTTTAGAGGCTTTCTTACTGGCAACTGCAGTGTAATGAAATACTTGTCCAACATTGGAGTTGCTAACTCTGGCCAGTATATTTAGATTGTGTTACAAAGAATAGGAAACAGCCGAACACATTATATGCCACGGTGAAGCCCTCATTAGGACCCGACTTCGCTTCCTAGCCAAAGGACTTTGCGAGGTTTCTTAGCAATACGTGGACCAAAGAAGACCTGTAGCGAAAAGAGGTTTGTTACAATAGATCGCTCTCGGTCGTGGAAATTAAGTGACCTGTTGCTCCCGCCTCTAAATCAAATCTAATCTAATCAGGCTTCGAGGACCCAACTGTTCAAGTCTGAGTCCGCTGTTGTTGTTGTTGTAGCAGCTAGTCCGTGACAGTCCTTAGTTCAACTTAAACGTTCATCAATATCACAGCACAGGGTGGTGGTCGAAGAAGCAAGGAGCTCATTGTATCGGAATTGCACCATGCACTCTAGAGAGCTTTGAACATATTTGAAAATATATATATACATTTTTTTTTCCAGGAGAATTTGAAAAAACTTGAACAAGTAGTAGTTTTAATGGTTTCTGGCAATTTTGCAGCATTGTTGTTTCGGTCCAATGCTACTAAAGGGGCTGGGACATCCTGGCAGAGCAGATAAAGCTGACTTGATCTGTTTTTTGTTGATTATACTTATTTTCAAATAAATCGCCACCCAATCGCGGGTGCAATAGATTTCTAGTAAATCTTGAAAATGTTAAGAAGCCATATAAGTGAAAAAACAAAATTAGGCAAGTTTACGTGGCTTACTTGGTTACGAAGCATTTGCTCGTTTAGATGAATACTCCAAATATACCTTAATGAAAAAATGCGCTTTCAACTCACCTGCTCTCGACTCTGTAATTCTTCGAAATATGTTATATCTTGCCCGTTAATTGTAATTTTTCCTGTACCAGGCAGCCGTATAGTAACATCGCCACGTGCGGTCTTACGTAAACACTCTATTGGTGAAGGAAAATATTAAAACTAATTACTATTGCAAACTAGCTTTTGCAAGAAAACAAGCAGGCATACCATATGTAGTAACAAATTGACGACCATCTGCATCGAATTGTGGTTTTGGTATTTCCAATTGTTTTGTCTGATCCAGCAACGGTTTGGCGAATTTGTTAATAAAGTCACGACTTTTATATGAAAATGGTAATGACACTAAGCGATCCATGGCATTTGTAAAATTTGTATACTCCAAGTCGTTAATGTGTTCGACCAACTTGGTTTCAAGTTGACTCTTAGGCAACCACTCGAAACCAGTGAAGTCCCTAAAGTGAAATACATTTTGTTAAGATTTTACAAAATCTTGCTAATAAAAAATTAAAACTCACACTTTCTGGTTTGGGTCAGCGCGCGTGCCACGACGCAACATACGTTCCTCCAGTTCATATAATTTATTCATCTCCTCCACAATATCCTAAGGTAATAAAAAAAATAAACTCAATCACTATGCACAATAGTCCACTACTGCCTGACTGTACTCACGAACAACAATTTGAAGAAATTAGGGCTTCCAGTATAGAACATACTGTGGAATGGCCGGCCCGTTTCGTCAAACTCCGCCGCTTTGCGCACTGGAAAGATTTTTTCCGGACTTTTCATTAGCGGTCGTGCACGTTTGTCGAACAAGCCCGAGGGAAATAGATATTCGATTGCATTCTGATGGGAAGAATATTCGTTCAATTGTATAGATGATAAAGGCTTAAATATACACACTATGTGTACTCACATCGATATCCTCTTGCGTAAATGTTTCTGGATCTTCGCCCATCATGTTAGCCAAGTGCCTTTTACCAATTTGATACTCTAGTTTTTGTGTTTTCATGAATTCATCATTTTCTCGCGCACGTTCGAGGTA